TAGATAGATAGATAGATAGATAGATAGATAGATAGATAGATAGATAGATAGATAGATAGATAGATAGATAGATAGATAGATAGATAGATTTACTTATATGAGTAAATATATAAATGGGGTAGAAAGATAAGTAAATCTAAACAAAGTATGTATAAAAATATATCTGCAAAATCTCATATAGTCAACAAAAAAGTACTTAGTAATACAAATTGTGCAAAATAGCAATAGAAGAATAAAAAGAAAAGCTATTCAATAGTAAATTAGATCATCAAACAAAGAAATAAAAATTGACAAGGAACAATCAGTACGCTGAATATAAGACGTAAGAGTTAATTAAGAATGACATTCATGCAGAAAAGCATAGTCTGTATGAAAAATTTGACCATAATAATTATCTTATTAATTTTCACGGTTGAGGGGAGGTTTATGAGGACCCAAATGCAGAGATCAGGAGGCAGAGGTGAGTCTTGCAGATTTAATGAGGCAACTGAGGTAAAAATACAAAGAACCAAAAACAGAAAATGTCAGGGAAAACTCATGTGGGGAACCAGAGATGAGGAAGCTAAATCTAAAAACGAAATAACAAACCAGCATTGAGTGACTGCAGAGGTGGGGAGACTGAACCAAGCCCAGGCTAATCAGCAGATTGGGAACAGGTGTGGGTAAGACCAACTAGGAGGAAGCCAAGGGGAAAGGAAACTAGCACAAGGGGGCAACAGAGAATAACTAAAGAACTCAGCACTGGTTGAAAACAGCTACAAAGACACAGAACACAAAGAAACAAACTAAACTCAAGTAGAGGGCAGAATCCGGAAATTAATACATTTCGTTTACCTTGCGCAATAATATGAAATTTAATTGCAGAGGGTGGGGGAAGACATTTATGTTTAAGGGTTTGGAGAGTAACCAGTTATGAACTGAGTATAAAATGTTTTTGTTTTACAATAAAGAAAAGCATATAAATAGGCTGGAAGGATGAATGACATTTAAAAGTTTTGAAATTAATCTCTTTATATTTAGGCAGAAAATCAAATTTAAGATATTTGGTTCTCAATGCACGAATAACATTTTTAGAGTATTCTTTTTAAAGGAAAAGTCTTTAAATTGGATTAGGATATATAAGATATCTGTTGACACATTTTCTTAAAAATATGTTTTTGCATTTTTTGTTTAATATATTGATTCCTTCATTTTTAAGTTTAGGAACTGGAGCATTGCTGAGGCAACCCTGAACTAAATTGATCAATATTTTTGGAATATATTTATAATTTGTCCA